TTGGGTTATGAGTAAACTCTAGAGTATTGTTATTATTAATAGTTTATTTTAATGGAATTTTTGTTAGTTTTAATTATATGATATTATTATTTTTAATATTAGTATTGTATTGTTTAATACTTAGGTGATGAATACGTTTAATTTTAATTTGTTTAAATTTGTGTTAAAGGGGAGTTAAAGCGCATTATGGATTTGGTTATTTTAATAGTTGGTTAATGTTAGATAGATTTTGATTATTATATTTATAACCCTGTGTTCAGCTCTGGGAAGTGGGGGAGGGGGAGGGAGGGGTTTTGGGGTGGGTATGGGGGTTTATACTGTAATCTTCATAAAATTTTTAATAATAATAATAAAAAAAAGATCAACAGCACTGCCCTCCCTTTTTGGATGGAAGAACATGTTAACTATTAACCGAACCTACTTTTAAGATCAAGATTATGCAAAAAAAAATTACGTTTATTAATAGTACAAGCTAGGTTTCAGAGCATATATTAGATTTATTTTTACAGTTAACATTATTTTTAGATTGTATAGTATAACTTTGATTTAACAAGGCCATCAGGAGAGGAAGTGTGTCATTAAAGCTAACCACCTGTAATTCTATAACTTAATATCATCAATTCTAGTGGTATCAATTATGATAACGGTGTGTACTACTTCAGAAAAAGTTTGACTATTATTTGGGAGTGAAGTCCAAACTAAAGTTTAGTCTGCTCCATCCAATTTCCTCTGAATGAGGGTCTGTAAAACTAAGGTTTTATTGCAAGTTCCTGTGAATAAACCAGTCTAGGTTTATATGTAATTTTGGTTTACGCAATTTATAAATCTGTTTTTAATCCACTGAGGAAATGCCCTATCTGACCCCATCAATAATTCTGCTCTGCTTAATTTTCACTGAAACCCAAGAAGCAGCCAATTGTTATATTTTGCAAAATGCAACACAGCTCCCATCCAAACAGTAGCATTATACTTTGGGGAACAATAATTTACTGTATTTTTCTTAAAATAAATTCTCAATAATTCACTGTACTTTTCTCCAAAGGAATTCTCTTATCTCTTTAAAAGATAGGTGACTGTACAGCTATTATTATTATTGTGGGAATCCGTTTAGGAAAAAGAAATAAGAATTTTTTATAATGGCATTTCATTTGCATATTCTTTCCACATAGAAGATATTTCAAATGTACAAGTATTTGTGTTCACTGTACACCAGGAAAGATCTATTTTTTCATCATGGTAGTGTAGAATAATGCTTTAACCAAAGGAAATCAATTACCTTTATCAGAAGTTCTTTAAGAAAAGTGCTGATTAGAGTTGCTATTTTATCTCCATCTAGAAGATGGAAATGGCCAACAGAGTCTACATAGTAGTAAACAATTCGGTCAGCATCACCATCCAACGAGCAGCATCTCTCACCAGGATTCATTTGTAGTCCTAACAAGCAAGAAAACAATGCAGAAGTGTTCATTGGTAAGAATTTAAGCAGGGGTCCCCAACCCCCGGTCCATGGACCGATACCGGGCCACAGCATGCCAGCAACCGGTCCAAGCAAATCCCCATCCACGGGATGCAGGCAGCACACAAAACCATGCTCCCTCCAGTCCGTGGAAAAACCTCTCTCCATGGAACCAGTCCCTGATGCCCAAAAGGTTGGGGACCTCTGATTTAGAGAGTACCGTAAACGTCATGGGTTTTACATACTTCCAAAATAAACTGCCGAATTAAACCAAGAATGGGCAACATATGGTCCTTTAGATGATGTTCCGCATCCATGTGCCCTAGCCAGTATGGCCAATGCAAGCAGGTCGGGTTACAATCTAGCAACCTTTAGATAAATGTTTATTGGTCACCTTTGAGTTGTATAGATAGTGAGGCATAGATATTCTCTGCGGTAAAAAATAACAATTTTAAGTTTCCCCTTCTACTACAAATCTACCAAAGGGTCAGAATGTTAATAAAGGGGTGCAACTGATCTACTGAAGAAGTTCAGCTCCTTTGCATGCACTGAAAGGAACTTCTTCAGCAGGATGCATGAATGGAGCTGGTATTGTCAGGATTTTAGCTCCACTTCAGCATCCTGCCAAAGGAATTCAGCTCCCCTTGGCAGGCAGCTTTTTCAGTCAGACCTAGAAGCAAGGAGACCTCTTCAGCAGCCATTTGCAACTTTTCCAGACAGCTTCCCCACTGCCTTTCTGGGGAAGCCAACAGAGAAGACTGCAAATGGTAATCACATGATCACCAGGCATTTGACCACCAGTCATATATGCCAACAGGTTGCCGAGCACCCAAATCTCAATCATGTGACCATGGGATGGGGATACTAGGGTTTTATAAAGCAGTACTAATACTTCGCGTGATCTTGATTCTATGCCTCTGTTTATACAACCCAGGATTGTATTAGCTTTTTTGGCTGCTGCTGCACACTGCTGGCTCGTTGTCAAGTGATCGTCCACTAAGACTCAGAGGTCCCTCTCACAGTTACTGTTTTTGAGCCAAGTCTCGCCCAATCTGTACTTGTACCTTTGATTTTTCCTGCCTAAATGTAAAACTTTGCTTTTCTCCACATTAAAACTCATTTTGTTGGATAGGGCCCATTGTTTAAGTTTGTCAAGATCTTTTTGGATCCTGAGCTTGTCTTCTGGGGTGTTGGCTACTCCTGCCAATTTAGTGTAATCTACAAATTTGATGAGTTCCCCTTGTATTCCTTCGTCTAAGTCTACTAATGAAGATATTGAAGAGTACTGGGCCTAAGACGGAGCCTTGTGGTACCCCACTGCTTATTTATTTGTTTGTTTGTTTCTTATTAGATTTGTTTGCCACCTGTCTCTCTTTGAGGTGACTTTAGGTTTGGGGATAAATTTATTAAATATTTTTAAAAAGGCCTAGTCTTCTAGTGTCCTACCTACAGGAGGCTTCTGGTGAACTTTGACAAAATCAGCCCCACACATGTGGTTGAGTTTCCCTTCCCTTCCATCATTGGCCAAGTGGATTGCCAGGGTCTCTGAAAGATGGGGTTCCATTTCCTTGAGTTTTAGGGCTCCTATGCCATTTGCACAGTCGATCTTCAGTCCCCCACGGCCATCCCTCTGGGGAGCAGCCTGCAGAAAAAAAACCCAAAAGGTAGCTCAGGAAAGAAGGGTGGGTAGACTCCAGCAGGTTTCAGGGAGATGAGACTTCCAACACCCTAGAGCAGGGGTAGGCAACCTCGGCTCTTTTATGACTCGTGGACTTCAACTCCCAGAATTCCTGAGCCAGCCATGCTGAGGGGAAAGGGAGATGTTTCCAAGCTGAGCCATGCTGGCTCAGGAATTCTGGGAGTTGAAGTCCACGAGTCATAAAAGAGCCAAAGTTGCCTACCCCTGCCCTACAGGGCCTGTCCTGCCACTACAACGTTTTTTAATTACCGTACATTAGTTTCATTAAATAGCTCATCAGAGGCTAAGAACGTATTTTACAAAAATAACAAGTCCAGGCTTATAATATCATATATGAATTTCAGTAACACGGCATTGGGCACTATAAATAAAAGGTGCAGGAGAGTCCACTGTGGCTTGTAGGATTATACATCTGCTTCAGCAAAAATACTTTACACATATTTAAAAGCAAGTAGAGTCAAGAACAGCAAAATTTCCTAAGAAGGTTCTTCTTCGGTAGGACAAAAAGTCCATTCTGATCCATTGAGAGTGTTGATACCCTAGCTGGGGTTATAGATATTCTTAAAAGGACTCTCTTCTAGGGAGAACATTTTTCATGCATTTTTAATAAATGCCCTTAAGAATCCAAGCCAGATCTTCTCTTTAGGGAAGATGGTTCTTTTTACCTGCACCGTAAGCTCCAGAAAAGCCTTGGAGAGCTTTTGATAATAGCCTTCCACTGTTGGTGTTCCATAGGTGCCATGAGTGTTGTGACAACGGACCATATAGTGTAACTGTGGAGTTGTTACTAAGCCATAGTCTAGTAAGAGAGAGAGAGAGAGAGAGGAGTCAAGCATTCATTTACCTATAGCAGTGATGGCAAACCTTTTAGAGACCGAGTGCCCAAAAACTGGCCCCGCCCCTGCTCCACCCCCCCCCCCCCCCCCCCCNCAGGTCCGATGCCATGGATCGCTTTAAAGGTGGTAACTAACACCTTAAAGCGCACCCGGAAGACCACTGGTAACCAGTGCAGCTCGCGCAGCAGCGGTGTTACATGGGAGCGACGAGTCCCTCCCAACACCGCCCGCGCGGCCGCATTCTGGACCAGTTGGAGTCTCCGGGTGCTCCTCAGAGGGAGCCCCATGTAGAGGTGACTTTGAGGTGACTTTAGGTTTGGGGATAAATTTATTAAATATTTTGAAAAAGGCCTAGTCTTCTAGTGTCCTACCTACAGGAGGCTTCTGGTGAACTTTGACAAAATCAGCCCCACACATGTGGTTGAGCTTCCCTTCCCTTCCATCATTGGCCAAGTGGATTGCCAGGGTCTCTGAAAGATGGGGTTCCATTTCCTTGAGTTTTAGGGCTCCTATGCCATTTGCACAGTCGATTTTCAGTCCCCCACGGCCATCCCTCTGGGGAGCAGCCTGCAGAAAAAAAAACCCCAAAAGGTAGCTCAGGAAAGAAGGGTGGGTAGACTCCAGCAGGTTTCAGGGAGACGAGACTTCCAACACCCTAGAGCAGGGGTAGGCAACCTCGGCTCTTTTATGACTCGTGGACTTCAGCTCCCAGAATTCCTGAGCCAGCCATGCTGAGGGGAAAGGGAGAGGTTTCCAAGCTGAGCCATGCTGGCTCAGGAATTCTGGGAGTTGAAGTCCACGAGTCATTAAAAAAGCCGAGGTTGCCTACCCCTGCCCTACAGGGTCTGTCCTGCCACTACAACGTTTTTTAATTACATTAGTTTCATTAAATAGCTCATCAGAGGCTAAGAACATATTTTACAAAAATAACAAGTCCAGGCTAAAAATGTCATAAATGAATTTCAGTAATACGGCATTGGGCACTATAAATAAAAGGTGCAGGAGAGTCCACTGTGGCTTGTAGGATTATACATCTGCTTCAGCAAAAAATACTTTACACATATTTAAAAGCAAGTGGAGTCAAGAACATCAAAATTTCCTAAGAAGGTTCTTCTTCGGTAGGACAAAAAGTCCATTCTGATCCATTAGCTTATGCTTTGAGAGTGTTGATACCCTAGCTGGGGTTATAGCTATTCTTAAAAGGACTCTCTTCTAGGGAGAACATTTTTCATGCATTTTTAATAAATGCCCTTAAGAATCCAAGCCAGGTCTTTTCTTTAGGGAAGATGCTTCTTTTTACCTGCATCGTAAGCTCCAGAAAAGCCTTGGAGAGCTTTTGATAATAGCCTTCCACTGTTGGTGTTCCATAGGTGCCATGAGTGTTGTGACAACGGACCATATAGTGTAACTGTGGAGTTGTTACTAAGCCATAGTCTAGTAAGAGAGAGAGAGAGAGAGGAGTCAAGCATTCATTTACCTATAGCAGTGATGGCAAACCTTTTAGAGACTAAGTGCCCAAAAACTGGCCCCGCCCCTGCTCCACCCCCTGCCCGCCCCCACCCCGCCTGCCCGCAGGGCCACTCACCGCCTCCAGGGCCCGCCACAGATCGCCCAGCAGCGCCATGGCGGCCATGCCCTCTGCCCGCACCCTGCAGCATCAACTGTGCGCAATGGGGTGTGAGGGCAGAGTCTTGTCTACGCTGTCTGGCTGCCATGTCCTTGGCTGCACGGCCACGCTCGGGGGCGACTCTCCTCCAGGGGGGCTGCTGGTGAGGGGGTCATGGGGGGGAGGCAAGGCTGGGGCAATGCCACGTGTGCCCACAGAGAGGGCTCCGAGTGCTGCCTCTGGCACCCGTGCCATAGGTTCGCCACCACTGACCTATAGCAATAGCACTTAAGACTTATATACTGTCCCACAGTGCTTTACAGCCCTCTCTGGTCAGTTTACACTGTCAGCCTATGGCCCCCAACAATCTGGGTCCTCATTTTACCGACCTCGGAAGGATGGAAGGCTGTGTCAACCTTGAGCTGGTCAGGATCGAACTCCTGCTGTGTGGGCAGAGTCAGCCTGCAATACTGCACTCTAACCACTGCGCCACCAGGGCTCCTCATTTACCTGTGCAAAACTAAGGCCCTTTACCAGAAAAGGGAAGTGTAATCATCCAGATTTTGTGGAACTACAATTCCCAATAGCCCCGTCCAAAAATCAATTCTAAGGAATGCTGGGAGTTGTAGTGAACACATTTGCAGGGCTACAAGTTCCATTCCTGCCTCGCACTGAGTCAGGCTGCTGGCTAGGTGAGGTGTGTATTATCTATTAGAAGTGTGAATAGTTCTCCCGGGTTTCAATTAAGTCTTTTCCAGCTCTGGAGATTTCAAAGACTGAGTCAGAGACCTCTTGCATACAAAGCATCATTCTTCCCCCAAGTTCCAGACTTCCCAAACAGTTTCCTTACATCTACACAGACCAAACAGGAGAAATCTCAACATCAGGATAAGTAACTGAATGGCAATCAAAGAGCAAACGTACCCTGATATTGACCTCCGAGGGCAGAGACACCATCAATTACTGATTGGGATAGCTCCTTGCTGCTTGGCCTGCAAGCAGCACATAGAAACAAACAAAGGCTTTGTTAAAAATGCTACACCAAAGTACAAGCTAAAATACAAATATTTGTCAAATAAGATTTCTTTCTGCAAAGGGAAAAAATGTTGGCAGCTGAGCAACTCAGAGAGTGTAATAAATAGATGCCATAAGAATCATTGGGAACACCGGTGTTCCCAATGATTCCTATGGCATCTATTTATTGCACGATATATTTTATACGTCTGCTTCCCATCTTTTTTCTTTACAGCACTTTAGATGGCTTATGTGGGCTGGTAAAGAGTGACTGCCTTCACCCAGGTAGGTGTCTGCCAACAGACCTATATTCTCAGGTGCCATTGCTCAGAGAGGGCTAAAGCCAATTCTGAGCTGGATAAAAGATGCCCTTGGAAAATGCAATGGTGCTGAGGAAGGGAGGAACTGGCCTGTCCCACTGCAAGGAATCAGGCAGGCCACCACAGGGAAGCACAGAGCAACAAGCGGCTGCATTAAGAACCACTTGTTTCATGTAACATTCCAGTTACTACAGATAGTCCCCAGGTTATAACAGCAATTGGGACTAGAATTTCCATTGCTAAATGATGTGGTCATAAAATGGGGTGTCACATGACTTTAGCAGTCCCAGCAGTCCCTTCATTAAACTTCTCTAGTTTAATGAAGAGAAGGACTAGGGGTGGCATGATAGCAGTGTTCCAATATCTCAGGGGCTGCCACAGAGAAGAGGGAGTCAAGCTATTTTCCAAAGTGCCTGAAGGCAGGACAAGAAGCAACGGGTGGAAACTAATCAAGGAGAGAAGCAACCTAGAACTAAGGAGAAACTTCCTGACAGTTAGAACAATTAACCAGTGGAACAACCTGCCTCCAGAAGTGGTGAATGCTCCAACACTGGAAGTTTTTAAGAAGAGACTGGACAGCCATTTGTCTGAAATAGTATAGGGTTTCCTGCCTGAGCAAAGGGTTGGACTAGAAGAACCCCAAGCTCCCTTCCAACTATTCTATTCTATTCTATTCTATTCTATTCTATTCTATTCTATTCTATTCTATTCTATTCTATTCTATTCTAGGAATTAAACTATACACATTCCCAGCTGCTTCTTATAAGCAAAACCAACACAAAATACACACATAAAAAGGCATCAGGAAGCCATGGATGAATGCAGGCTATTACAGGTCTACACCACACTCTTCTCACTGTGCTATGGAAGTAAAGTTGAAGGAGATGGATGTATTTAGTCTGCTTGTTGGCACCATAGTAACTATATTCATCCAACATTTTCTGCAAGTATCAAGATCACAACTACCAAAATGTCCAGGTGAATCTTTCATGTGAATTCATTTGATCCCAATGAACAGCCTGATGAACAATATATTACCCTTTGACCTGCAAGACATGTATCGGCTTTCTGGCTTACCGAGTGTCTCTACCAATCACAATGAAGGCCTTGCTCTGAAGGTCCACTGCCTCCTTCTGGCAGATCTCAGTCAGGACACAGTGTAACTGGGGCTCTTCTGCATTCGCCAAGAATGTGGCATGTTCTTCCCAGGTAGGGGCCAACATTTCCCCTGAAGGATCAATCAGCTTCACGCCATTGTCTTCCTGAGGGAAGGCAGAAAATTTTCACTATCAAAGCTAATGGCATGTTTAGAAAAAAGGTTTAGTTTCTATTAAGCAAAGAAATATATTAAAAATGTGTAAAGTTTCAAATTCAAAGTATTTGGAACTCCAAACACTTGCTTCAAACTTAAAACACAATGGACTGTTTTGAATTTAAAATGGTTCGTGCCCATTTTTAAAAGATATAGTGTTTTAAATTGCCCAAGGAAAACTGTTTTGAAGTGCAACACCTTTACAATAAATAAATAAAAATAAAACATTAATTAAATCAATCGCACCAAAACTTGTAAGTAATTTTTCAAAAAGAATGTCAAAAAAGGTAAAATGATTTAATCTTACTGAAAAGTCAGAGGGGGTGCTCCTGTTCATGCTTATTTTGCAAAAAGCACCACTGAACTCAGTGACTTATTTCAAAGTAAACATGCATCATATTTGTGTGGTAAATAATTGAACAGAGAAGACAGAGCGCATTATGAAAAAGTTCCAGGAAGTGCAAGTTATACCCAAACAATGAATCAATCAGATTTAACAAGTAGCTTACACGTAACACTACAAGTAGTTCTCAACTTACAACCACAATTCGGACCAGAATTCCAGTCACAAGTCATTGTGATTATAAGCCGAGCTCCCCAAATGACTGGACCCAATTTTTTGACTATTTTTACAGTGGTCCTTAAGAAACAGTCATAAATCAAAATCACACATTTGTTAAAGGAACCACAGTCATTTAATCCATTCTCCCAAATGGGTGCCTTTTGCCAGAAATCTGCAAAAAAAGTCACACATTGCAGTCATGTGACCGCAGGATAATACACTCAGTTGTAAATTTGAGTCAACTGTCAAGCATCCAAAATACACCAATATAGAATATTTGTAGCTCAGAGTTGAATTGTGTTCAATACTTAAAATGCAGCCATGTGACCAGGGGGAACATGGCATTTTATAATGGTGCTTGATGGGCCACAATCTCATTTTCTTTGGTCACTGCAACTTCAAATGGCTGTTCAACGACCAACAGTAAGTCAAGGATTACCTATATTCTAAAATTATGCTAATTAAAAAAAATATTTTCCAGTTTAAACTAGGCGTCTTAACTGTACAGAGAGATACATTGTTTTCAAGGCCCAAATAACCTTAGAACCAGAGCTCCTACACAAAAGCTGTTCTCCTCTGAAATGCCCAGTTTCTTACTTCAGGGTTATGAGAGGCTGTAACCATCACACCAATAGCGGATTTGGTCTTCTTGGACCTCAGGACAGCCAGCAGTCCCATACGAAACATGACGTGGTCGAGGTTTTCTGCCTTGGAACGGAACCCAGCTGTTCCATATTGGAGGAAAAGTCCCAGAGGTTTAGCATGCAGTTTTGAGTATTTTGTGACTGCTTCGAAATCCATCTCTGTAGAGCCCACAAGAAATAACACTAACTTATTGCCACAAAGTTAGAGGTGGAGATCCTGCAAATCAAAATTGTGCCTTAAATTATTAGGAAAGAGAACGGAATTTCATTCACAATAGAATCTATTCCTTATGCTTTATAAAAAAAAGTAGGTTAAAAATGTTGTGGGTTTTTTTACCAGTATTATTTGCCAAGGTAATTATAAGACAAGACTTTAAAAAGCACAGATCGCAGTACAAAGTGTTGCAACTTCATTATTCACAAGGACTTTGTTCCTTACCCCTGACAATCCCAAATGGCCTCACTGCTTGGGCACCAAAAGGGAAAAGACCGAAACTGATCTTGGGGGATTAGTTACTTTCCTTTTCCATATCAGTCTTTTTCTGGACATCCAGGAAACTGCAAACTAGAGATTCAATTATAGGAGCCCATAGTAATTTCAATCACAACAATCTCCCACAATCAAAGCTATGCTTAAATCAGTGTTTCTCAACCTTGACAATTTTAAGGCATGTGGACTTCAACTCCCAGAATTCCACAGCCAGCATTGCTGGCTTAAATGATTTATTGGCGCATGAGCCTCTAACGCGCATGAGCCTCTGTGGGCAGGAAGCCTCCCCCATTTTTCGGAACGACCCACGACCGAAGCCACCCAAGTGACCATGTTACCTGCAGCGCTCTGGAGCCTGGCAAAGAGACGGCGCCCACTTCTGCGGCGCCCTTCCGGGATCGGCCCAGAACACGTTTCCTTCTCGCCTTTCCCGCATGCACCAATCAGAGGGCCGAGCGTGCGGGGGCCCGAACGAAGCGTGTTGCGACATTCGATCAACACCCAGGCGCCGTTCCAGGGCCGAGCCCCTCCTCCGGCGCCCGGGGCTGGATTGCGTGGCGCTTCCTGCCCCACGTCCTTCATCTGCAGCCATGTGAGCTGGCCGGTCGGGTACGTGCTCCTCTGCCATCAAGCGCGTCGGTCGGCTCCGGGATTTGTAGGACCAGCTCGGACAGAAATCTTAGGCGGAAGGTGGGTTAGTGCCGAGCCAGAGGCTCTGCTTAGCCTTACAATTTAAAAGCGCTTCTTGACGACCACATCTTTGGCCTGGCCCTCCCCGATGGTGAAGACCAGGTCTCCCTCCCCTTTCATAGGTAGTCCTCGACTTACAACGGTTCTTTTAGTGACCGTTCAAAGTTACATCGGCACTGGAAACAAAGTGACTTATGACTGTTTATCGTAGTTAGGATCTTTGCAGCATCCCCCTGATCATGTGATCAAAATTCAGATGCTTGGCAACTAGTTCATACTCATGACCCATTGCTGTGTCCCAAGGTCACGTGATCACCTTTTGCGACCTGCTGACGAGCAAAGTCAATGGGGAAGCCAGATACACTTAGCAGCCGAGTTGCTAACAAAATGGGGCAAAACTCACTTAACAACTGTCTCAACAACAGACATTTTGGGCTCAATTATGGTCATAAGTTGAGGACTACCAAATAGAATGTCAGCAACAACTTCCTGAAAGGAGAAATGAATTGATTGTATGACCTGGAGGCGTGACGCTAACAGATGACCCTGAGATGGTGACAAAGAGATGTAGGAGCTTCTTATTCTTTTCTGCCATGTGGTGGTTCGCAGGCCATTGTTCTGCAACTCAGATCTAGTAACTCTAGAAATGGGGGCTGCTTTATTACTATATTTGGAGTTTTCCTATACATCAGTCAGATTTGGTGTTGCATTATGCACGGAATTGAACAGAGGGCAAGCAGAGCTAAGAGCAAGAGCGAGAAAGTGTTGGGGTCCTGAGATCCCGCCCAAAGAGGACTTCAATTGGCCCCTGTCCCCTAGGAGGACCAGGGGAGCCCCTCTGCTTCTTCCCGTTTTGCGCCATCATGGCTAACAAAGTCATGGAAAGTGAAAATATTTGTTCAACCAAATACTAAAAATAAATGTTAATTAAAATTTATTAGCCACTCAACCTCACTGGACTCAGGCTTAGCAGTCTGCAAGTATGGAACCATTAACACACGTGTACCCTGGAACAGTATAAGAAAATGCTACCTAAGTATACATTGGCCCTGTGTTGCATTTTGCTGCTGCAATTCAAAATACATTTCCAGAATTGTGAAAGTACTCATGGAATTTGCTTTTTTTTCTACAGAACAATAGTAGGCCATTTCAAAATTCTTCTTTAGTTCTCCTGCACAGGATCCTCTCTTGGATATCTCTAAGAACAAGTAAGCAAACACCTCCTCCCGCCTTCCTGCTGGGGGGGGGAGGTGGCAAGAAGTTGCAAGTGCCAGTAAACCTGAGGCGACAGGTAAGTTGCCGCTGCCTGGTGGGAAACAGAGCAAGGGAGTGTGTGGATGGCCGAGGCGGTGCATGGCAAGGCTCGGAGTGGCTGCTGCTGGATGGGAGAGCAAAGCAAGATTGGTAAGAGGCATAAGCGCAGTGAGGCTGGGGGGGGGGGGTATTGTTGGCAGGGAGAGGGTGCATGAGTAGGAGAGACTTAGCTGGCCTGTTTACAACCTTCCATGCCGGCTTCCCCATTAATTTTGCTTGTGGGAAGCTAGCTGGGAAAAATCATAATTTGTGAATATGTGATTTCAGACACTGCAACGGTCACGTGAGCCAGTTGCCAAGTACCAGAGTTTGATCCCATGACAGCAGGGGTACTGGGACAGCTGGAACCTTTGAGGAATGATCGTAGCCCTCCACTTGTTCAGTACCGTCATAACTTCAAATGATCACTGGACTCAATGGCTGTTAATATGACTACCTGTATCAATCTGAGGGTTTGCATCCATTTCTTTTGCCCTTTGGTTAGTACTTTCCAAGCAGCCATTCTTTCTTTGGATCTCTTGAGCAGCCAGGAGGGCATCTTCACTTCCACAATTTTAAAGGGCTTTTCCTGTCTTGTCTTATTTCTTGTGTTTCTCCTTATTGTAGTACATTATGTCTCTGCTGGGACTTGATTTTACTCTGTACTGTCTCTTTTAACTCCTTACAACTAATGCCTAAATCTAAGATTACAGATGAAGAAATGTTTGTGATAGCGGCAAATATCTGTAGCTCGGGTGTAGGATTAGGGTGGGGGTTTGTTCTCCGACCTTGTGGTTTTGTTACCTAGCCTGCTAACGAAACATTCAGAAACCAACCCACAAGCTCGGAGAACGAACCTCCACCCTAATAAAGAAATGTTTCAGTTGAAAACAAAAATCAGGCTCTCCAAACCGTCTCAAGACTTTTTTTTTTGAGGTGATGCTAGCAAAAACTTTATTGATTTGATATCTCCTTTTTCTAGGTGACTGAAGCTGAATCTGTCATGATGTCCAGCAATATAAAAGATAGTCTTGAGCTTCAAGTGGCGGAATTGGAAATGCTTTTGTCTATGTTTCCTAATAAAAGAGAAGTAAGTCTTCAAGATGAAAATATTTTCCAGAATATTCAGAGGTACCTGAACAATACAACTGAAAATTTCCCGCCTAAAATTGAGTATTCAGTTGCTGTTCCTATAAATGAAACCAAGGTGAGACCATTTGCTTTCACTGGTTATTATTATTGAACAGTTTCAATTGTACTTCAATTTAGTAAACATTTGAGAGTCAGTCTCAATAAAATTACTAATTTTAGCCCAATAGGCATAATGCATATTTGGTTGGATTTTGCCTTAGTCGGGTTTTTGTTTTTTTTGTCAGCTATAGATTAAATTATAGTACTGCATTTAGAGATTAAATGATTATAATACAATATCCTGTCTGCAGTGGTTTTGAAGATGTCCCTGTAGATGGCCTAAAAGCTTTTTCAGTTAACAATGCAGCTTCACTGGGCATATTTTTACAGACCTCTTTTGGATATCTGTTTTTTAATTTATATATCTGGGACCCCAAGATAGTCGCCTTCTACATGTTTACTGAAGAATTTTGTTCCATTTCTGAGATGTTTTCTTCTACTTTAAATCTTGAGCTGTGATCTATGATCTAGAACAGCTTCTCTAGATAAATGCAGAAATCCCAGTTAAAGCATCCTGATTATCCAGTCTTTGCTTGAACATATCTATTTTTGCTGTTGCTCCACTAATAACCATGAGATTCAGTTAACTACAGCAACTGGGGCTGCGGAGATTGCCACGCTAAGTGATGTGGTCGCTCTTTATGGACAGCATTGCTTAGTGATGGGAATTCCAGTCCCGGTTGCCAAGGATTACTTGTGTCAGGGATTCAGGAACTTGTACGTTATATCATCTCTGTGTGTTACGCAGTTATCTTAATTGTAAGTAACCATACTTAGAGCTCTGTAGTATGAGGGCATACATAAAAAGACTGAGTGACGGCTGTATAAAGAATTGTTTGGTATACTTTTGTTCTTGTGTATGCACATGTACTGTATGCAGATTAGTAAAAAATATCCTTTATGACATATAGGATATACAGAATATTTGTGGGAAGGGAATAATGATTTTTTTGATGTTTTTATGCTTTAGGTTTTACTGAAATAAAAAAACTTGCATAAATGTATTGTAATTGGATTCCTGTATTTCCTTTAGCGTAGTTTTTCACAAAAAAAATTGCTCAAGTACAAAATAACTCATTATGTTATTTGCCTTTCTCCCCCCCCCACCCCTTTTTTAGGCCATTGTAGATTTGCAGGTGGAATTGCCTCACAGTTACCCCTACGTGACACCACAACTTTTTGCGAGATCAGATGCACTAGACAGGCAACAACAGTTGCAGCTCAATAAAGATCTTACATCTTACATTGCTTCTTTGGAGCCTGGAGAACTTTGTATATGTGCAGCTGTTCGGTGGTTACAGGATAGCAGTACATTCGAAGTACAAAATAGTGAAGTTTGTGAAAGAACAACAAGGAAAGATATAGCCAAAGCACAGTTTAAACGCATGTGGATTTACAGCCATCACATATACCGACAAGAATTGAGGAAAAAGATTTTTGAATATGCAAAGAAATTAAATCTGACTGGCTTCTGTCTAACTGGCAAGCCTGGGGTGATTTGTGTGGAGGGCACAAAAGAAAACTGTGAAGAGTTTTGGCGTATTATTAGATATCCTAATTGGAAACACATTTCCTGCAAGCATCTTGAGACTGGAGAAACAGAAGGAAATGGGGAAACTTTTCGTCTCTTTCAGACCTTTGAGGATTTACAGTTTCAAGCTCATGGTGATTATGGATTAAGAAATGACTATCATATGGACCTTGGTCAATTCCTAGAATTTCTTAAGGTTCATCAAAGTGAGCACATATTTCAGATCTTGTTTGGCGTTGAAGGAAAAAGTCCTGACACTTAGCACAAGAACAAATGTGCTAGGAGGACGGTTCTCAGTTATATTGGTATGAAATCGAGGAGGATTGCTGTGATTATACTGTATAATATGATAAAATAAAATCCAGTCTTTATATATTTCAAAATGCCTACATCTCTGGAGAACCGAACATGACAAGAGTATAAGTAATAAGCAGTAGGGCTGAGCAACCCTTTTGAAAAAAATGCTTTGCAACATGTAATATGTACTTGTCTTCAAATCCATAAAGCAGACATCATATCAATTATTTGGGCTTGTATCGCTACCTATAAACTGCTTCCAGATGGTTCTCTTTATCTTTGTAAGCAGAGAACCCAACTTACTCTAAGAGAGCCTCCTGCTGCTGCTAAGTACATCTTTTAAAGTATGTTGATGAAGATTCTCAGGCATCCAGGTAGAGTTGTCTGGAAGTTGAGTTACGGCATCTGGACTTTTCTTTTTTTGGTTTGAAACATTTCGCTGCTTATCCAAGTACAAGTACAGTAGACCAGGGGTTCCCAACCCCTGGTCTGTGGACCGGTACCAGGCCGCGGCATGCCAGCAACCGCTCCACACAAACAAGCAAAGCCCCATCTGTGGGATGCAGGCAGCACACAAAACCACACCCTCCGGTCTGCGGAAAAACCTCTCTCCATGGAACTGGTCCCTGGTGGCCAAAAGGTTGGGGTCCTTTGCAGTAGACTAAAGAAGCTACTTGAAAAAGCAGCAAAACGTTTCAAAACAAAAAAGGCCACTTGCCATGACTCAACTTCCAGACATCTTTTAAAGAAGTAGCACAACCCTAACAAGTATATTAACACCTCATTCCTATGTTGTGCATTATGAAAGACCGAGGCAGTTCAGCATTTTGAGAAGAAACCACCTCATACTGCAAGTGCACCTGCTGGGGTTTGCAAGTAGTAGTGGGTCACTACAACGGAACAAACTTTCTGGAGAGCTGTTGGCCTGAGACTATCACAGATTATCCTGAAATTCCAAAATCTCTGGTATTCCCCATCTCCCCCTTAGCTTTTTTTACCATTTTCCATGTAATTCTGCTTCAGCTGTGACTCACAGAAACGTTAAAACATGCCTTCTGAGTCAGGAGTAACCTGGGAGAATTTTTAAAAAGGGAGATTGGCACCACAAACGTGAATCTAACTCCCTCACACTAAACAGAGTAGGAAAGAACTGCTAGGAATTTCCTTCAAATGCACTAGGATGGGAGTGAATTACTGTCTTTTCTATATAAAGACTTAAAATGGAATCATCACCATTCAACACCAAACTGTAAAATGGCCAGTAGGATTATTTCATGGTCAACAATTTTGTACTTTTGAATTCCATTGAGAGGAAGAGGGGGGGATCTCGGTGCAAAAGTTATCAATGACAGAAAAGGTTCACTAAATGACACTGCTCATTGATTTACAAGCGACAACCATAGATCAAGTAGGCATAGAATAGTCTTGAGAGGGCACCATTAAACGTATCTGAAAATCTCCCACAAAGGTACGCTAACAGGCAAGTTGACGAACGACGGGAGAAATTACAGTAGCCCTGATAAATTAAACATCCCCAACCATGCTTTTAAGTAATCCTACTGATACATGGTTTATCACAGTATTGCTTCATCTGAATTTAATGGCAAAACTAGTTAACAGAGCCACCATTTTGTACAGATGTCAACACTTATGAAGAATAAGCTTTTACTGAATTTTCCTCCTGCAGTAAGTGCTGCCTAGCAGGACCAAAGAAGAAGGAAATTATTATATCCAAATTATTTTCATTTGCTTATAGGTTTATAATTGTACCTTAAAGTGAAAGAACATTAACATTTCTAATCCCAAGCCCACAGGTTTAAAATACACTGCTGCTAAAAACGGAGTTCTGGGTTAACAAAAGACAGAAATCAACCCTTTTGTGGAGTGCTCCATTGTTACAGTGTTGTGGTCTCTGGTTAAACTTTTCTTGTCTGTATTTTCATTGCTTTTTCGGGCCAAATGTAAGAGTCTGTCAGAAAGCTTTCATAGTCAGTGTTGTACATCTGAGACCTGATGAATGCTTCCTTGTCTTCTGGTTCAGGGTAGAAAGTTGCCGTCTTGTTTTTGTAGGCTAGCTCTGCAATCTAGGAAAGCAAGACAAATCCCTCATGGTTAGAATTCCTAGAGGCCTGAGCAGCAGCAGGATGCTAAATGGGGAAAATTCAAAATTTAAAAACCAGGTATCGGATTCCCATCATACAGCTGGCAATAAATCTGTGTTGTGTCCAAGAAAAGATAAACATTTCTCGGCATCCTACCCTTTGAAAGGAATTGTTACAAACTGTAGCAGTCCTAAACTGTTAATCCACATCATCTTCATTACTGAATGCTGAAGGTTT